AACAGAACAATGTCACAGAGCGAACTGCTAACAGAGTTGGCTAAAGTGCAGTGGAATGGTAACCTGAAGGAATACACGGATCGGTTTGCGACTGTAGCGGAGCGGGGCATGAGTCTTACCCCTGCCGAACTCGCGGAATACTACTGCACAGGGCTACCGACTGACCTCCATCTCTCAATAACTAATGACAGACAAGTGAAATACCTGACGTGGGAACAAGCGGCGACAGCCGCAACACGGCTCTACGAGCCCAAGCAGAGCGTGCTGGAACTCCGCGAAAGAAACAGTCGAGCCATTAGGGCTATCATGCAAGCTAATGGACCCGTGGGCGCCAGGAAATAGAAAATCGCTCTGGGGGAACCCGAGGAAACTGTTTTGAGTGTCAGGGTCGCGGACACCCGGCACGCGTCTGCCCCAGCAAAGGGGAACGTACCAAGCGTCCGGGGGAAACCTGCAAGAGATGTGGAGGTGTGGGACACTACGCTCGGGACTGTCCCTCGTATGAACGCGGCCGGCCTGAGCCGGTGGACAAGCGCGGTAGAGCGCCCGCCCGTCCTAACACTGAAACGACGGAGCGATTAAACTTGCGGGCCTACGCGTAGTTGGAGACGAGCGTTCTAGGCCGCGTAGCCATGGCAAGGGGATGATGTGCGCGGTGGCGACAGGCCCCAATGCCATCCCAGTCTCCCTTGAGAGGAGAAACCAACTCCTCAGCACTGCGGAAGGAACTAACACGAGCGAGGAGCACGAGGAAGAGACTCGGCCGCTCTCGGAAATGCGGTGGAAGTCTGGGCCAACGTCGATCCTGAGTGCGGAGACTCCGGACGCGACGACGGATAGCCGCAGGAAGTCTGCGGAGGCAACAAAGGAAGGCCATCCGTCCGACGTGACAGAGATTCTGCCACACTGGTGGAGGGAGACTTACATGAAAGAGTCTTACGAACAAGGGGGAGCGTTGTGTTGTGTGGGTGCGACGGCGGTACTTCGCGTTGAGCTCGCAGGGAGTCCATGTGAGGCCCTCTTGGACACTGGAGCTTCACGAAGTTTCATTAGTCCCAAAACAGTCGAACCAGCTGAAAGTGCGGATGCTTCCAAGGGGACATAGGTTCAGCGTGGCCACAGGTGCACAACTACGCATTGACCGGGTTGTAACGGGACTGACGTTGTGGTGCGGACATGCACGTATTCCCGGGGACTTCCTAGTGGGACCCGTTCCCTATGGCTTAGTCTTGGGCTTGGATTGGCTGACGGAACACAAGGTGGCCTGGTATTTTCAGTCGGACAAGCTCCGAACCTATGTGAATGGCCAGTGGTGCGAGTTACCGGTCGTTCGAACTGGCGAAGCAACGCTGCGAGGTGACAGTTCCGTCGCAGCCCAGCCAAGGACCCCTGCAGAACAAGCGTACGAGATACTGGCAAAGCAAGTGGCGGGTATGTCTGCCGAGGAGGCAGCCATATTCCTACGCCCACCTCCAAGGAGGTATAGACCCCACGCGAAGAAGAAGGCGAAGGCGCGGATAACGTCGCTCGTTCGTCAAGCGGCTGCGGACACAAAGGATCTCAAGGCTCCTATGCACGGTTTGCACCTCATACTGGCTTTACCCGAAGCCGGTCCGGCAATGCCCCTAAGGCTCTCAGATGAGTGGCAAGGCGCGCTTTGCTGCGCGCTAATCGGGACTCACCCCGCGTCCTCCAGTTGGCATACTCCTTCGGCCATAACCGTTTCGGGGGAAACGGAGAGTGACGAGGAGTCCCCCTGGCCTCAGGCACAACTCGAGCACACTCTGTTCGACGCATGGATACATTCGACAGAGGCGCAAGATATTCCACGGGAGATAGCAC